CTTTCGGGCACTCCTGCCCCCCTTGCTTCTTGTTGGGATGTTTGTTTATATGCAGCTGTAATTAAATTCTCTACTGACTTTTCAGTTCTCCTTTACCAGCCTTAGAATTTGCCATCTTCTTTTCATGAGTTTTTCTAAAAACCTCTCCATGTAGTTAATTTTTTTATCCATTTCTGGTTATGTATTTCTTGTAGTCTGTCTAGGATCTTATTATCAGAAAGACTATTGATTTAATTTGAGGGCTTCATCTGTCTTTTGTCATACAGTTTGCTGTTATAACTTACTCCTGTTCCATAACATTTTCATTTGCCCTTTGGTCCTTTCCCTCCATTCTTCCTTTCACTGTAAAAATGTCTGCATCCTATATCAAGTTCAGTAACTTATGCTGCATTAATATTCACCTAGTCTTCCTAATTAATACCTTAGATCAATCTTTGTCCAGCAAATGATTACCTTGGGCAATACATTTTGCTTTTTTGTGCCTCAGTCTTTCCTCCCAGCCTTATTGATTTTCTAGTTTTTTGTTTCTATGGACATGCAGTGGGTCTCCCAGTATATATTTGTGGTCCTTTTCACTATGGAACCCTCTAAGCATTACTATATTAAAAATAATAGACCCATAAGAGAAAGTGCAGATTTATTAAATACTATGCAGTAAGTATATTAGACAATGACTTTAATTATGGTAGTTCAGTATTGTCAGTACATACTGATGATGTTAACACTGAAATGACTACCAATTCAATTAAAAATATTTTAACCTAAACTGGTATTTATGGCCCTCAGAAACTGCTATGAACATTGGTTACTCCTGTCGTATGCTCACTGATGCCATGAATGAGATATTCATCATGTCTGGCCACACAGTGATGGAAGTACGTGAAGAACTCAGGTAAAGGACAGTATTTGGTTGCTTTTACCCCTGGCAGAAGGAATATTCCACTTGAACTCCCTGCCTTTGGAGTAAACATGCTTTTCCTTAAGGTGCCATGTGTTAAAGTTCTGTCAGTTATAGCAAAATTATGCAGGCTTACTTGTGTGAAAGCAGTAGCCCAAGGACTTGGGACCACTAATCTCTAGACTGTGAGCTGAAATTCTGTCAGTATCCTCCTCTTTATTGATCGGTGGGAAGGTCCCTATAATCATACATTTCAGTTCTGGCCCATTCCTGTTCCTTCCTTCCACGTTACTTTATGCTTAGAGCTGGAGATTTTTGGAAAATGCAGTTACCACTTCATTTGGAATTGGAATTGTCAGCAATTTTTCTCTAGATTAGGCCCTGTAATAATAATTTGGAGATTTACTGTTCTAATTTGTGCTGACATAGGCATAGATCTCTGTTTCTGTATATTTGTCTTTCATATGCACAGCTGTCTTTCTCTCGTACATTAGGGCAGCTGGGAATTCTAAAATGAAACACCTATATGGCAGTATGATTTTCACTGTTGGTGATTTAAACAAATTTCCTTTCTTGGAATGGATTTTAGTGCAACATAATTGATTAGAAGATTGTACACAGCAGAGTTAGGAACTATGCAGATAGCACTGCTAATATATGATCCTTATTGTCCTGCAGAAGACTATTTGTTTTTGTTTTTTCTTTTTTAAATACAGGAACAAATTGTGCAGGCATTTAAGTATGGGCTGGTAGTAATAAAGACAAATATAGTACCAAGCATTGCATATAAACAGTGTTCTTGACTTCCCTATCTCCTTATCCTGTCACTTTTCCCAGCCAGTTCTAGTTCTTTCCCCCTGTATCCTATCTCTTCCTTAGATATGTTGTCCTTCCTCCCCCTCTCTAACCTAGTTTCCCCTCTCCTACTGGCTTCCTGCCACTTTCCATTTCCCTGGCTCTCAGCCCCAATCACTTGCCAGCTCCATTTCTATTTCTGTTAGACTTCAGCCGCAGCCTCCATCCTACCTGCTCTACAACCCAGTGTTCTCCACCATAATATCTGAAGTCCTGCTCTGGTCCCCTCTGCATTTGAGTCGGTAGATTTCTACCTCTATACTGGCAGCAGGTTGTGGTGCCCTGCCTCTATCCCAGCTGAGGGAAGCAAAGGAAAGTCCCTTGGAAAGTTCAGCTTCCCTGGAGACAGAGCATGATCCATCACTCTTTGCATATGTATGGTAACATCTTTATGGTGAAATAGAAGAAAATCCTAATTTGCACTTCAGCCTTCTTTGGAATAGGCTGATAATGAAGAAGAAGTAATTAAACAGAAACCCACAAGTATAGCTGTTCTTAAGACACTTATTTAAGAAGTCTGCGTGTCATTGAAGCTCAAGTTACGTTTAGAATTGTTAAGAATAGTGAGAATTGCCTACGCTGACTATCTTGCAAAGTGAATATGCTGTTGCTTCAAACTTTTAACTTTTTGGTTCAAGAAATGGGTATTGCCTGATCTGATGTTCTGAAACAAAATGGCTGTTTCCCACATGATAAAGAGATTTTAAGTTCCCTTCTCCAGATGATGAATCCTGAAGTTTATTATAAAGAATTCATGATATTACAATCATTTCCATCACAATAAATTATGTTGTCATAAGCACATCAGTTTTATGTCACTGCAGGATCCAGTAGAAGATTGTCCTGAGCTCAAATTTAATATTGACATATTTTTTCAGTAAGAGAGAAGATGGGCAACAAAATAATGTTTTTTTTAAGCATATCCTCTTTGTTCAGTTTTGTGCCAGCAGGCAAGTTGGTGCTGCATATTTCAAAGTATGTGTAATTGGCCTTCATTTCAGGCTCGGGTCATCTTATATTTCCTTTGTTACCATTGGAATGGAATGTGTTGGTTGTTTCTAGCCATGCTATTTCATAAATCAACCACCAAGTGGCCTTCAAAGAACAAAAGAAAACACACCCTTTTCTTGCAGACCAGTTGCATCATGGTTATGGTTCTAGCTTCCATTGAGTAATAGCTAGATTGCTCTTGAATTAGACATACGGCATCATGATATACTGCAAATATGAACTAAAACTTTAGGCCTTTTACTGCAGAAATTTTACATAATTAAGAAAACCCTGACCTCTGATAATGTTGATTTTAAAGTCTCACTCAGAATCTGCCTGTTATTTAGAAAACATCTTATTGTCTGAACCAGTAACTAAAAATGTCCTTAAAAATAAACAAACACTTAAATTTATCAAATATTTTTCTTATATAAAACATTATATTTTGGAGTAGGAAGTTCAGCTCTAAGCTGAATTTATTTCAAGCTCACAGATGTGTTCAGACCAGTTTTTTAAATTAATTTAATCTGTTTTCTGTATCTAAGAAGATAAAATTAAAAATACAAAAACATTCAAAACTAAATATTTTGAGATATGAAAAAAAAGAAAAAAAATCAATTTTGGACATCTGAAATATCTTTGATAGAAGCTGCCTGTAATATCTTGGTCAATAATAATTAAAAATGAGAAGGTATGAAAAATAATAAAGTTTAATTAGCATCTGAAAAAATTATTTTCAGAATTCTTGTAAATAAAAGTTTATTGGTTAATCCATGTCAAATGGTTCTTTTTATTCCACTCATAGTTAGAGTTCTTTAAAACTCAAAAGTAAAACATCTTAGCCATAAATATATCCCCAGTTTAGTGAAAGCTTCAGCATGAATGTATCTATGCATAAGATTGGCCTTACTGAAGCCATTATTATTACTGAAATCTTTGCAGGATTAGGGCCTATGAAATATAATCTCATGGTTTACTTCCAAGCATATTTCTTAACCATTGCTATCAGTGAAGGAAAAACCATATATATTTGATATAGTAACATGACCCATATATTTCTCCCCTTATTTAGTCTCTTTGAACATACCCCATTAAGTATGAAGCCCTGTGCTTCCTTTTCAAGGCAGGGATCCCATAATTCTTCCATTATAAAAC